GGAACATCATTTATAACTTCCTTTTGCCCATGGAATCTGTTAGCCTTTCTGCACTTTAGTTGACCCTTAGAAACACTTTGAAAATCATCCTAAAATAACAGTTCATTGGTAGAACATAGACTTCATGGCAGTGAATGCCTTCCTTGCTTAACCTAGAAGCTCGGCCTCATCACCACCAGTTAGCCAAGCTTGGCTCGTGTGCTCCTTAAGCTGTAATTTGAGGCATAAATGGACATTAGGCAAAAGATGGGTGGGGTGATGACAGTAACTTGATCGCCTCACAAATTCCTGAGATAGAACAAGGAGAGGTCACTTTTTGGTTAGTGTAGGCCCTTGTCCCTGAGTTGGATAGCCATCCTTGAAGTATAAAGGATTGTTTTGCCTTTACCCAGGAGGGCTCTGTTGATGGAGTTTCTTAATTAGTCTCATTTAGTCTTATCATTACTCTATAGATGTTCTTTCTAGATTCTAGCAGAAAGTTGTATTAATACTTTAGTTCTAGATTTCTGTGTTCTTAGGTCTCTAAACATTTTCATTTGGAATGAGGATGAGAAGGTGGCTGGCCAGATGCCATTTTACACTGGGAAATCTTAGTAGCTAATCTTTGAACCCTTAAACAGGTAACTGTCTTTGAAGATACCCTTTCTTAGAGCTGTCAACTAGTCTAGAAAGATTCCTTTCCTAAAAATCTTAAAACTAAAACAAAAATAAAAACACCTAATCTTAGAACTTGCTCTAGGGGTCTTTCTAGCATAGGGATTAATTTTTTAATCTAGCTTGGCCTACTTTTTTCCTCATTTGTTCCTACTGATCCTTTTATATGTTAAATGTGAGAAGTCCCATGGCTTCTCTCTGGCCACTGGACAACACAACATCAACTACGTTTTTTGCTACCTAAACTCAGAGGGCTCTCCGGTATTGGCCAGAAGCCTTTCTATCTGGCACAGATCATATGTCTGTCTGCTTCAAACCTAGAGGGTCCTTTGTGGTCATTCACTGATTTAAATAGCAAGTGCTGCATGTTTTAAGTTCTGGATTTAACACATTAAACTGCCATGTGAGTTGTATTTAACTCATGTTAGTTTTGAGCCAGGGGCCTTGTGAAACATATGAAACTCACACGCCTCTTTACCTTGGGAGCCGCGCAGTGTGCAGGCAACTGCCATGCTGTAACATACATGTTATGTGATTGTGGCCCCCTGGGCAAAACCCTACAGTTGGTTCTTGAAAGTCTTACTTGTTGATGTTCTTATTGTTACAATTAATACTGACAATTTAATTGCATATAACTCATGCACAGGAAACAAAAACAATAACAAATTTTTCATTAAATTAGAAAGGATCATTTTGTTTTTGAAGTTTTTATTCTATTTTCATAATAAAACACATGGCCCAAGGAAAAAATTTTTTTTTTCTAGTGTGGCAGTCAATGTGTTAAATATGGTGGTGCTCTGTTCCTCCAGCTGGGCTCAGTTCTGGGGCAGAGATGTAGGAAAAGACGACACATTCTTAGCTGTGGGGTCTTCATCTTGTGCTCAATCAAGGGACTGTGGTTGCAGCACTTAGGGATGTCCCTCTGTTTTATTTACTTATTAAAACATTGATAATTTTTTGCTATAGAAAATATCAAACATATAAAAGTGGAGAGAGTCAGATAATGATTTTGTTTTACCCATCTCTGGGCATTCTGGGCTCATCTGTGTGTCTACCCTCCTACCATACCACCTATCCCCTGGATTATTTTTGAAGCTAATTTCAGACATCATATCATTTCATTGGTGAATATTTCAGAATATATCTCTAAAATAGATATATTCTCTAAAATATGTTTGTAAAAGATAAGTGCTGTTTTTTAAAATTATAGCCACAATACCATTATCACCCCTAAGAAATTAATAATAATTCTTAATATAATCAAATATCCAGCCAGTGTTCAAATTTCCCTGATTGTCTTGTAATGTTTTCTTTTAGATAGTTGAATTCAGGATCTAAATATTGTCCATACATTGCAACTAGCTGGTATGTCCCTCAAATTTCTTTAATATGTAAGTTCCTTGTCCAACTCTCTGTCTGTCTGTCTGTCTTTTTTTCTTTGCTGTTTCTTCATTGAAGAAACACGTTTTTTGCCCTGTAGTTTCCCACTATCTCGATCTTGGCATTTCTGAAATCTAAAGATACAAAGTATCCAAACACTTAATCTCTCCAAGGAGATTTTCTAAAAATGATTGTATTAGTTTTTTATTGCTGCCATAATAAATTAGCACAAACTTAAAACACATTTATTATCTTACAGTTTTATAGGTCAGAAGTTCAACACAGGCGTTGTTGGGCTCAGACCAAGGTGTCAGCAGGGCTGGGTTCCTTTCTGGAGTCTTTAGAGGAGAATTCATTCCGTCACGTTTTCCAGCTCCAGAGCCCACCCACATCCCTTGTCTCCTGGTTCCTTTCTTCCGTGTTCAAAGCCAGCAAGTTGCATCTCTTTGACCCTTCTTCACGTCTCCCTCTGACAGCAGCTGAGAAATGTTCTCTGCTTTTCAGGACTCATGATTACACTGGGCCCACCTAGGTAATCCAGGATAATCTCCCATCTCGAATTTCTAAATCACATCAGCAAAGTCCCTTTTGTCGTATAAAGTAACATATTCACAGGTTCCAGGGATTAGGCTGCAGACATGGGGTGGGGTGAGGGTTTTTTTTTTTTACCTACCACAATGATCATCAAGGTTTTTGAAATTCCTACCATTATAAAATAGAAGAATGATTGCGACATACCCTATTGTGATATCATAATGACTTGGGTTATATGATAGAAGAGGGCATATGACAGTAGTGAACTATCATTATGACATCATAGTAGTTTTGCTGGTAATAGACTGTCTGTATGGTTCTTGATTGTTTATATTGTTTGCAGGTAGCAGCATTTTATTTTGATCATTTCTCTAAGTTGGCCATACCAACCCCTTAGAAATGCTACTTTAGGACTTGGAGTAGCCCAGGTCATTGATGTGATTATTAATACTTACGCAGCGTCTTCAATTTTCTGGATCTTCTATGTCTTTAGATTATGGAATGAAAATTTATTGTGGCACTTAAACATGTTGAGGAGGTGCTGAGATCTTATAGAAATTATTAGAGTGGAGCAGAATTTTTAGCTCTTTCTGTACATTACAGAGATGACTCAGGTTGTTAAGTAAGACAGTGAATCACTTTTGAAAGAAAAGAGTGTAATGTAGGTATTTTTTTTATTCGTAATCTATGTCTCCATTAGATAAAGGAACTCCAGGAGTTTAATGACTCTTTTCCTAATTGGAAACCTTAGAGGAATGTCCTTTCCTCTTTTTAAATTGTTTTACATTTTAATTCACATTGACACTTGATCTTCAGTCCTACATATAGATTCTTCTTCAGATGCATTTAGAATTTTACTATAACATTGGTCATCCTGTAGCAGCACTAGGTTGATGATAGATTTATCTTGGAGGCCATCCAAGAGGTTGTTATTAAAGACCAAAGGACCTCATTATAAAGTGATTTTACTATAAAATAGTCCCTTGGAGTGATCCTTAGAGACAGCAGGTCGTTTGTATAGTTTTAAAAAGTACATAGTGTCAAAAAATGTCACTATGGGGTCCTTACCTTATGCTGTTTGTTTAAATAAATTCCAGATGAATTAAAGAGCTAAGTGTAATGGTTTAATTCCATTAAAAACTTGGAAAAAAACATAAGTAAATGTTAATGTGAACTTGAGTAAGAAGACCTTTGTGATTTCTGCTTTTGTAGATATTTCTTTATGTGGAACAGTTATTTTAAAAAACTGTAAACAAATGAAGCTGCAACTGGCATAGTGTTACCTTCATGACATACTGCTTGAGCAAAAAAAGTCATTAGACTGCTTCGGAGTATTCTTGCGAATGCACCTGAAAGTAGAAGGAAAAAATTTGTTACAAAGAAATGACTACCTCGTTTTAAAAAATATATCAAATTTTAAAGAAAGGATCTCGAGTAACTTGAGTTTAGCTCACTGTTTTTTTTAAATGTTCAAAACTCACTTTTATCTTTAAAATTTTAAAAAGTTTTATAGTAATACATTTCTATCTTTTAAAACAAAAATGCTCTTTTACTATATATTTTGTATACTGCTTTATAACTTAATAACATATCATGAACTTTCAACATCAAGATATATATAAACAATGTGATTTTTAATAGCCATATAGTGTTTTACTGTATGGATACACTATTTTTTTTTAAACAATTCCTTGTGTTTGCACATTTAGGTAGCTTCCAATTTTTTACTGATACATCACTATGGGTCCAATCAGGAGAGAGAAATTTGACAGGCAAAGTTTAATAAAAAGAATTTTTAACCATAACAGAGGGATTAGCTAGCAAGAAGTAAAGAGAACTCTATAGAACACAGAAGCAGCAGGTAACAGGTGCAGTCCCTAACTCTCAGGCCGAGACAGAGCATCCAGCCTGAGTAAGAGCAAGACCCTGTCTCTACTAAAATAGAAAAATCAGCCTGGTGTGGTGGTATGTGCCTGTAATCCCAGTTACTTGAGAGGCTGAAGCAGGAGGATTGCTTGAGCCCAGGAGTTTGAGGCTACTGTGAGCTATAATGACGCCACTGTGTTCTACCCAGGGAGACAGAGTGAGACTGTCTCCAAAAAAACCCCCCAAATTGGGATATTAAGTCTTACTGATTTGTACATGCTCTTTATGTATTAAATAGCAGAAAGTTTAAATGTTTATATAGTCAAATCTTATTTTATTTTTCATATTTAAAAATTCTTCTAGAAATCATTTTAGTATAGGGTATGAGGTAGGTATTTAATTTTATTTTCTTCCAGTATTGTTAACTGTTTTATCCCTCTTTTCCTCACTGATTTAAAATGTTACTTTTATCATATATTGAATTGTGTAACATGCTTGGGTATATGTATGGACTTTTAAGTGGTTTTCCTCCGGTGTTTAGTGAATTGTTTCTCTTTTTCTTTCAGAACAGGACGCAGGCCTTGACGCCCTCTCCTCCATCATAAGTCGCCAGAAACAAATGGGGCAGGAAATTGGGAATGAACTGGATGAACAAAATGGTAAGATCAAGCCTGAGATTGAGCAAATTTGTCGTCAAATATAAATACTAAAGACTTGAATATTTGTTGAATGATTTTAATATTATATAACACATAAAGTAGTTTCATGTCAGTGGATTGTAGTTCAATGCAATAGCAGGATTGTGGCAGATTTAGATTGTAGTTACTAAATACTGTGTAAAGAAATTTGATTAACAATTTCTAGTTCTCAGTGGCTGATTTTAAAAATACTTTGTTTGATGATCCATTTATCCCAAGGGCTTTTCTTTTGCGTGACAATGATATGACGTTGCTCAGCACTTTGTACACTGAGGCTGTGCGGCCTCAGACCATCCCCACACCCGGTGGAGTTTGCTCTTCTTCCATCATACGTACTGGCTGGCTATGGGGCAAGAAAGTTTGGAGATCTCTGTTCAGGGTTTGATGTGACAAATCTGTTTGGAGAAAGATTACTTTGCAAACCGCAAGCAGGATGGATTGGGAGAGAGAGATGGAGGCCCCCTGAAAGGCTCTCGTACTTGAGGTGTGTGGTGTTTGAGACAAGGAGAACTTGAATCAGTGGTAGCAGTAGGAGTGGAGAGGAAAGGATGGGGCCAGGGACTGCCAGTGTTTTTACTGTTACAAAGTCAGGGAAATTGAGAAGAGTCACCGGTTTGGGAGTGGAGATCGTAAGTTCAGTTTGGATGTGTCCACCTACAGATGCCAGGGAGAGATTCAAGTGTCGAGCCCACAGTTGGAGGTGTGGTCCCAGAGCTCAGTGAGAGGACAGAATCAAAGAGCAGGGATGGGGGGAGCTTCCACATAGGGGTGGTGTGTGACAGTGTGAAAGTGGCTGAGTTTTAGTGCAGCTGACGTGTGTGGAAAGCCCACTACTGTGTGCTGAGCTCTTTCATCTATGTCATTTCATTCAACTTCCACACACACCATGAAGGCAATGCCATGCTCATTTGCTAGAGACGAAGCTCAGAGCGGCTGAGGGGCCACTTGATGCCACATCTTTTATAAGTGACAGAACTGCAATTCCAACTCAGGTCTTCGGATTCTAACGTGACCGCTTTCTCTACCGTGCCAGCTTCCTCTGTAGAGAAGACAAAGGAGGGAGAGAAAAATAAAAGGTTCTAAGATCTTAGCTTTTGGTGATAGTACCACAATGGAGTGGCTTTCAAGAAAAGTTGTCATCCTTTTGTGAGTGAGCGTCAGAGCCCTGGGAAGGGATGAACGCCTGCTCTGAAGGGAGGGCTACACTTGTCAGAACCACACAGCAGGCAATTCTTTTCTTGGTCCCTAGGAAGAATGAGTTCAGTTGTTCCCACAGTGCAATTCCATTTGTCTATCATAAATAAATAAGTAAATTCCATCTGTTTATCATCTATCACAAATAGATTACTAAAACAAAAGGAGAAGCCTTCTATCTTACAATCTTAATAGTTTCAGCACAGAAAGGAGGATAATTTAGTCCTTTTCCTAATGGTGTTAAAATGAGCAGGCCAATTTATATATTTGCATATAATTCAGTTATTGGTCAGTCTCTTCCTTGAGAGACAGTATCAATAAGAAAATTAGCTTTATAAAAAATCTGCCTATCTGGTGTATAATTTTTTTTTTTTTTTATCCCAAGTAAAGTTAGCTTGTTCAATGGGTCAGACGAGGATGGACTCTGGCCACCAAGCTGGTGATAGCATACCCATCCTGTGTGATGTGTATAGAAAAGCCACAGAATCTATGGGTAGATGGGTCAGAATTGATGGTACATAATTTAGTGGGGTAACTTACTAGCTTCCCAAATGAAATCACCATGTAATTTTTTCAGCATAAATAATCACACCAGCATGGCTTTGTCTTTCCTCTGGTTTAATGGTTACACTTTGCTGCATCTTAGAATCAACTGGAGTGCTTTTAAAACTCTGAAGTCCACCTGGTCCCTGTGTTATTATAGTTTTCTATTGCTGCTGTGACAAATTACCACAAAATTTAGTGGCTTAAAACTACACAAACTTAATATCTGACAGTCCAGTAGGTCAGAAGTCTGACATGAGTCTGACTGGGCTGAAGCCAAGGTGTTAGCTGGGCTGCGTTCCCTTCTGCAGGCTCGAGGGGAGCATTCACATCCTTGGCTTTCTAGCTTCTAGAGGCTGCCCAAATTCCTTTGCTTGTGACCCCTCCCTGCGTCTTCAAAGCCAAGAACAGTAGGTTGAGTCCTTCTCATATGGCGTCACTTCTGCCTCTAACTGCTGCTTCCCTCTTCCACTTTTAAGGACCCTTGTGATAACATTAGGCTCCCCCAAGGTAATCCAGGACAATCTCCCCATTTTAAGGTCAACTGATTAGCAACCTTAATTCCATCTGTAACCTTAATGCTCCTTTGCCATGCAACTCCACAGATTTACAAGTTCCGAGGACTGGAATGTGGATATCTTTGGGGAGGGGGGGTGGGTCATTATTCTCTTTACCATAGTACTTTACACCAAGTAAACCAGAATCTCCAGGGGGCTGAAGCATCAGTATTTTTAAAAGCTCCCTAGTTAATTTCAATGTGCTGCCAAGTTTGAGAACCAGTGCCCTTGTTGAGCACGCTGAGAGAATATATTTAGTACTGTACTTTATGTCGCCTCTCCTGTGCTCACATTGCTGGTACAAACCATGCACATGCACAAGGTGTGGGCATAGTTACATATGCACACAGAGCATCATAGTCACTGAGTTTCTTTCTTCTACTCACACATTTCACTCCATCCCTTTGGTTTTTCCTCCACACCACCCAGTCCTCGTCTTCATTCCAGACCCAGATGGATACATGTGTACATAGACAAACAGGAGGTATTTTCCCATCAGTTGCCAAAATAAGCTAGGGTTTCTCTGTGGTGGCCTCCCAGCGAGGGCAGCTATGCTGGCGGTTTGCTAAAGTGCACGTTTGCTCCTTAGAGATAGGGCAGAGTCAGCCATTTTCTTTCACAGCAACTGAGAGACTATCTGTGGATAAACAATTACATTCTTGCTAGGACCATAACCAGCCTTTATTCCTTTTGTTCAAGTGGAAAAAGGCTGCTATGTCTGTAGGTGTTAAGAATAGGGCTGCAGCCCCATCTGGATTTTTATTGTGATCCGAGTGTGTTGTAAGGAGTCAGGGACGAGGGAAAAGGATTCCACTTTTGTCGTGGATATCTCTGTGATTTACTGACCTACTGAATTATTCTTTTGGTTCTCATTAAAGGAGAGAAAGAATAGGCAAGGCCATCTTGGAATCAAGTATCAAAACCTTACTAACAAAATACATTGTACTTAGAACATAACCACAAAGCTGAAGGGGTGAATTATCTTCAGTTTTGGAATTCAGTTTCCAGTCTTCTCATAGAGAATTAAAAAGGGCCCAGCCAACCCCAGTAATTACCCTGTTCATATGCTACTGACCAAGCCTAACGAGGAAAAGGATCAGAAGTTAAGTGAAAATCCCGGTGAGGAGAGACCTGAATGTACACTGACGGTGGGGTGGTGGGAGGGGGGTGGGGCGCTGAGCCAGTGAGAGCCTCCCAGGGAACCGCAGAGTTCAGTGCTCTTCGGTTCAAGGTGAACTGAGTGGATGGGTGGGCACAAAGGGCTCATGGCAGACCACCTAGATGCTGTTCCAGAACCAAGAGTTGTGGTTCTGGTTTACTGAAAAGTTCTTCTAAGTACATGGTTAAGAGAGCTGTTTAAAAAGAACACCAAAACAAGAAAATGAGTGAGATTGGCTTGACCAAACTGGAGTAGGTGTTTTGAGCCCTGATTTTGGCATTGGCCAAGCCTTAAAATCAGCACCACAAAGAACCATCAAGGCACAGTTCTGATGGATGAAATAGCAACAAGAAGAGATGTTAGTGTGTGCAGGTCATCTATATCATTTTTGATGCTGAAATATCTCAAATGGGCTAATCCTTTTGATTTTTCTCTGTCAATCTGTGAGCACTTATTTGCTTTATGGAAGAATAGGAGGTTCCAGGCTTACCTTTTTCCTTGTCCTAACCCTGGATTCAGGTGTTTTTGTAAGGATCTGTGGTTCATTTTACCGGGAAATGGTGTTTAGAGACCAAGATCTCAGTGCATACTATGCCCATTGTTGCTGGGGTGTCATTACTTTTAGGCCCTTCATCATTATTATTCTTGATTCCTGCTAGGTGACCTGTTTCCCCCACTTTCTCGAACACTTTAGGATCTTTGATTTATCCCAGGTGTTTTGAAATTTTATTAATATTAGCATGTCTTGATGTAGGTATATTTTCAATCATTGTGTTCAATGCTTCGAGTCCCTTACAATCTAGACATTCCATTCTGGTAAATTCTCTTGTAATTTCCTTCCTTCTGTTTTTGTCCATTTTCTCATTTTGCAACTCTTATTGGTCAGATTTAGACCTCCTATGTCAATCTTCCAAGTCTCTTATTTTTTCTGAGTTACTATCTATTTTACTTATTGTTTTTACTTTCTGATTTTAACAAGAACAGGCATACTTTTTTGTCTTTTTTTAACTTTTGAGAGTCATTCCTGTGGTTAACTTTTTATTTATGAAACAGAATAGGTACACATGTGTACATCACATAAGCCAGGCCCTGTGCTGCCCTATCCAGGAATGCCTCCTCCATCTGCCAGTCACCCTCCCTCATTCACCTGTGGAGAGTCACCACGGCCTGTCAGTTGTACCTCCTAAGGATCACTAGCATTTGTCTACATCTGTTTGTCACCACCACCCTGGTCTGGGCCACTGTCACCATTTGCCTGGATTACCACAACAGTCCGATACTATGATCATGTCTTATTTCCTTCTTAGCCTGTCTACACTTTGTATCAAAGTATTCTTTTTAGAACACAGATCTAGTCACATCATCACTCTTGAGTGACTCCCTCATTGCTTTCCTGACAAAGTCCAGCTTGTTCTCAGTGATATAGTCATTATATTCCTGTCTCTGGAGTTATACAGCCCAACCTGCTGACCACGGCAAGTTTTTTAGTTGCGCCGACATGCTGGCCC